TGATGAACTTCCAGTGTGTGATCCTTTTCCATCAGGAATTAATGAGGGGGATTGACAACGACGTGGGTAGATGTGGGCTGGAGGAAATGCGCTAGCCACCTTCTCTTCCTTAAACAGTCAAACAGCCAAGAGTGGGCCTGGGCCTCTCCTCTCGGCCTAGTGCGCCCGCCTCCCCTAGCTGAGCCGGGTGGGGGAGGGTTTGGAAGAGAGAGGAATTGTGGGGGTGAGACTGAGTTTCCTCTCGCCCTCCCCCATCTGCTCTTCTCTCACACCAGGCCTGACTGGAGCCCGAGGAGGCTGTACACAGAGGGGAAGGCTGCAGAGGTTTGGGGGGGCTTTTTATTGTACTCGTGATTATTTTTCTCACTTTGGGAGCAAAGGGGTGCGGATGCGTCTGTGGATGCCCCCGTGGTGGTCCAGCTCTCCTCCCCAAGGCAATATTCCCCTCATTCTCCCAAGCCCAGCTCAGAAGACGGTAAGGCTGTCGTCTTCTCTCTGACTTCGCATTACAGACTAGAATGCGGGGACCGGACCTGCCTTTTTCTTGAGAAAACAAAACAAAACAAAACAAAACAAAACAAAAGTCCGGACCTCAAAAGGGTCGGGGAGTCAGTAAGTGAAACCACCCCAGCCGTATAGACCTTCCGTGAACCGAGGGGGTCCAGAAGGGCGGGTGTGAGTAATGCGTGTGTGCTGAGTGTTTGCCGCGTGTATCGTGTATGTATGATGTGGTTGTGTATGTGCTGAAGATGTTCTGGTTGCCGATGGAGTGTGTGCTGCGGATGCCGGGTTATGCGAGTATGTGTCTGTGTTTGTGGTGTACGTGCGTATTCTGTGCGATGTTGTGTGCCCTTGCACACAGTCACTTCGTTGGTGCCCGCTGGATGCACCTCCTCACTCCCGCCACGTCCAACCTCCGGCTTCCACCCCGGGACCGGGCGGTGGAGACCTCGGCTGAACGCCCTAGTTTCCGTACTGGGATCTAGAAAGGTTTTCAAAACCTGGCGGAGCTGCCTTCGTTCGGGGCGCAGCGAATTCGTTGCAGCGGGGTTGGTCTCCTGGCCTCCCGCCAACTCTCCTCGTCCCGCCGCCGGCGCCGCGCCCCCCAACCCTCTCGCCCCTAAGAGTTTCGGGCGCGCGGTCCCGGCTGTGGGTCAGCTCCTCTCCCAGGCCCGCCGTGTCCGCGGCTGGGACACCCGGACCTGAACCCCGCGCCCACGCACCCCCACCCGGACCTTTCCCGGCTCCTGCGCTCGGCTGAGTCCAGCTCCGTCGCCACACAGGGCAGCACCTCCATCGAACCTTCAAACCCGCCCCATTTTTTAACCAGTTTGTTTTGTCTTGAACGTGTTCGGTGATTTTATATGTATATATTTACATATTTAAACGTCCCAGGCAATCCCAAATTGAAGACTTCCTAGAGCAGAGTCTGAAGTTTGAGAGCGAAGCGACGACAAGAAGACGCGGGGACAGTGTCGCTGAGGTCGGTGGCGGAGACCCTCGTGGGGGGATCCTCCCGCCTAGTGCTGCCGAGATCTTGAGGTGGCCCTGACCACAAGGCCTCTCCGCTCCGCTCTCCTGGGAGCTTGTCCAGGGCCGGGCGCCTGTCCCGGGGAAAGCTCTTTGGGCCGCGTGGAGGTGAGCGCCGAGCAAGCGCACCGCGGGGCTGGCGGAGACATCAGCGACCAGCCCGCCGCCCCGCGCTTATTAACTGCTCCATCAGAAAAAAAAAAAAGGAAAAAGAGACAGGATAATTCAAATTTTTAGGAAAAGCGAAATCGTAGTGGGAGGGAACTCAGGCCTCTACACACTGTCCCTTCCTCGGGCCTGTCTAAATGTGGGGGCTTTAACTACAGCGCACCCCGCGGAGCGGAAGGAGGACTCCCTCCACCTTCCCCAACCCCGCCAAACCGAATTATTCACAAAGTTTCCCCAAACCGAGTTACGACGAAAGCCTCGCCAAGTCGGACTTAAATTCCACTGAGAACAGACAAAACTAAGCTAAAGTTTCGTTTGGGGACTGTGGGTGGGATGGAGGAGAAAGGCCGAGGTCTGGGGTCGCGGTGGAATCTCTGTTCCGCCGGGCGGATCCATGTAGGTGAAGCGTGGAGAGTCTCCAATGCTGACAGACCCGGGCGCCCAGCTCCAGAAGCAGACGCCGGCCCTTTTGCTCCGGAGCGTGCGACCAAGGACTGTGCGGAGAGCCCTGCGCACGAACCACGTGTTCAGGGGGTCAGGAAGGGGCACTGAGTTGGGATGAAGTTCCCCGCTTCAAGGGAGAGTCCGAACTCGGGGTAACCACAAGCAAGGCACACATCCCACCGCCGCAGATGCTTATTCTGCTCAAAGAATCATTTACCCGACTGGGTAGGGCTGTATTTGCCAGGCGACCCGCAAAGAACCTGCAAATCAGCGTGCACCGCAGGGACTTCTCAGGTCCAGTCGCCGCTCCCCGCTGACTCCCGACACTGCTGCGGCCTGGTGTCTCCCACTCAGAACTCCGCCGCCGGCTCCCAGCGCCTCTCTTCGGTGCTGGGGTTCTCCAAGCGAGCTCCTTTAGCTAAGGAAGAGGACCTGTGGGAGCCGGGAGAACCACTTACAGCTTTTGTGACAAGCTAGAAGCTGAGATATGGGTAGTGACAAGAGCAAGTTAATTCGTTTTAATTTTCCTTTCCCCTTCCATTCTTCCTTCCCCCTTTCTCCTCCCCCTTCTGCTTCCTCCTCTTCCTCTTCTTTCACTATGTTTTTAGGATTTTGGTTTTTTGCAATTCATTCTAAAGGAAATGACAAAAGCTTGGAGATCTTAAGTACAGCTTCCTCCTTTTATCCCTTCTGGATAAAATGAGTCTCAGAGATGTGAAATGGTCCATCCAGTCTATCACCGCCAGCCAGCTGGAGGTTGAGCTGGGATGAGAACCCAGGCCTCAGTTCTCCCAGGCCAGCCCTCCCTTCCCTCTAATCAAACACACGTTGACAGCTCTTCCTAGCTCCCATCCCTGTCCCTTCTACCTTTCCAGATTTTCTCAGGCCCTGAGGTTGGTGGGATGTTGCATCTGTCAGAGGGGACTCCTCCCTGGGGACGTTTTACAGCTAGGTGCCACAGTCTCCAGCCTTTAGAAGAGGGAGCCCTGAAGAGGGAGGTGCTGATGGAAAGAGAGGTTTCCTCATTTGTGTACCAGGGATAATAATAGTACCGACTTCACAGGTTGTATTGTGAGGATGTTGTATTTCATAAATTCTAAAGTGTTGCAGGGTGTTTCCTACTGCTGCATAGGGGTGAGGATCCTCCATGAGTTCAGCAAAGCCCTCTGAGAGCTAAGGAGAGGCTCTCACTACCCATCTCCTGGCTTTGGGAGATGCTAGGACAAGAGCCCTGTGCAAAATTCACCCTGCCCGTTCTTGCTAGGTCCAGCACAGAAAGGAGCCTGGGTACCTGGGCCGGAGGAAGTATCCTTCCACCCACTCTTTCTGTTCCACCTCAAAAGTACCTCCTTTGTGAAACTTTCCCTGACCACCAACCCCACCGGAACCAGCATTCTCTTGCTTGGCTGCACCAGGAGGTGCTATCCTTGGAGCCCACCATGGTGCTATTGTGTGGTTACCTCCCTTCAGAGGAAGATGATGGCAGTAGAAAGGAAGCTTTAGGATAGATCCTTGTAGGTTCATAGCTCCAGCTCTAAGGAGGCATAGAGTTGGGTAAGAAAGGTGGGGAAAGATGGTCCCATGTGGAAATAGCATTTCTCAACTGAGCAAACCCTGCTGGATGAAAGGGAGGGGGTTCTTCAGATACCCAGAGGAAGGGCTCCCCATGGAGCTCCTTCTGAAGCTCCAAGGCTTAGGGTGGAGAGCTCAGAGCCAGGTGCCACAGGTGTGTTTTCTTAGAAAACTAGTCTCTGTCTATTCCAGCAGGGAGTCTAGTTTAAAGCCAACTTGCTCTTCCTCCCCATAAAGACACCTGACTGAGGAGTTCAACCAGCCCTGCACACCACTTCGATCTTTATGTCTCCCCAAGGAGACCTAGGCTGGCCACCTCCAGTACCTTCTCTTACTCTTTTAAGCTTCCCTGTTTCTCTGATCTTGTCTTGTCCCACCCCGCAATTCTAAGGATGCTGCCTTCATTCTGAGCCCTGATAATAAGAGCGTATGTGTATGTGCCAACATTAATATGCCAGCTCAAGTTGCCATACTCAAGAAAGAAAGGTGGGTATGTGGGTATGGTGAAGACTGGTGGGTTTGGGGATGTAACCGTCTCTCCCCTTACATGAAAGCAGCTTAGATGTCTGTAGACAAGTATCTTATTGAATGGGTACATGTGCTTAAGTGTTGATATGCTTGGATTTTCTGTATTTTTGAGTGTGTATACTGGCAATTCAACTTGTATAGTCTTGGCGCTATGAAAGAGACAAGTATAGTGCTTCTATTCAGGGATATTGCTGTTCATCTCTGAGTATGGAGGTGTGTATACATCACAGCCTATACTCTGTATTTTCAGATCTATAAATTAACCTCTCTGTTCATGAAGGAATACTAATGTGGACATCGCTGTAGACATCTGTACATTGGTATGTGCAACTGCATATGTTGTATTTGGATGGAGTCTCTGTGTAGTTGTGTACATGTGGTCACAGAGGCTTGTACACGTGGACACCTGTTCATCAGGGTCTTGGGCATTACTGTTTAGAGGCAGGTCCTGCACAATGAAAATGCGCCCGCTGAGCCGGGCCTGTTGTATTTCCGGCACCCTCTGAGGAGCCATCAAACTGGACTCCCCACTCCCATTTTTGTCCCATTTTGTTCCATTTCGTGTACGGTTTCAGCCTGATGCGGCCCCGTGAAAGGCTGGACGCCGCACGGACAAGAGCCCAGATAGCGAATCCCAACTGTGGCCTCGGGGGCTTGTAGGAGCTGCGGTGTCGCAACCTACCCGGGGCCCCTGCCGGAAGCGGAAGCCAGGACCGAGTGGCGAGGGAGCGGAGAGGCGAAGTCGCGGCTGTAGCTGCGTACCTGGCGGAGGACGCCCTGCGGGGGTTTGCGCGCCCAGCGCTCGCGCGTGCAGGGTAGGCTGGGTGCCAGACGATTATTCTCCCGCCCCGGCGTCTGTTTATCAACAAACTGCCGGAGCTCTGCAGCGACTCATTCCGACGCGCTGAATAAGCTGCGGGCGCTGGCGGTCTGTTCTCGACTCCCCTTCAGGTCCGTGGCGGCGGGATCGGAACCGCAGTGCTGGTCCCCAAGGGCGGGAAAGGGCGTCTGCAGATTCTGCGCACCCCCGCCGCCACAGAGCATTCCACCACTGCGCTGCGCTCCCCTTGCCCTGTGGTCATCTCAGACCCGTCAACTCCCTCGCGTTTCTGCCGTCAGGGCAGTGGAGTTTCGAGACTGCCCCAATCGCCCGGCAACCCCGGCACCCCCTCGGAGAGGACTCCAAGACATCTAGGCCAGGAGCGAGTTCACCGCCCCCCTGCATCTGCCAGTTCAGAATTTCCCTACCAGGGGCTGCCCTGGGGGGCGGGCCCCGGCTCCATGCCTCGGTGAGGTCACTGCGAGCGATAGCCAATCCTGGACGTCTAAGTGGGCGGGGCCCCCGTCGGGTCCCGGGAACCGAACCCGAGAGCCAAAAAAGGGGGCCCCCATAGATTTAGGGGGGAGGGGAAAGCCATGGGGGCACCCCTCCGAAACCCCTTTCCCAGGCGCGCGCTCTCCGCTGGAAAGGCGCAGAGAGACACTTTGCCCCGGATCTTAAGTGTGGAAGGGGCTAGCTTGGGGGCCCATTCGGCCCCAACACCCCAGGCTTGCAAAAGAGAGAGCTGGCAGAGGAAGCGGACTACGTGCTGGGCTATGGCCTAGGCCCTGCGGCCCGCGCCCCGGCCGCAATGTCCTCTTTGCCCTGCTCCCTCCCTGTTCGGGACGCCTCCAAAGCCGTCTTCCCGGACATCGCCCCCGTCCCATCGGTAGTGGCTGCCTACCCGCCAGGCCTGTCCCCCGCAACCGCAGCCGCCTCCGACTTGCCCTACTCTGGGCCGTATGGCCACCTCCTGCCCTATGCCTACACCGGGCCGGCGACCCCTGGAGACGCTTACCTGCCCTGCCAGCAACACGAGGCGCCCTCTCAGCCTTCTCAGCAGCAACGGGAGGCAGGTAAGTCCAGCCACCGCGGCTCTTCCCACCTCCCGGCTCCTGCCTCTGTGCACCCCTAAACTTCGCCCTCACCTGGTTGGGCGCAGCTAACGGGATTCAGAACTTAGATTCCACGAGATCAGGGGGTGGGGGGAGGAATGGGGCGGGAGACAGGGGGAGGGGCGGGGGCGAGTTGATCTAGGTCTCCTTTCTAGACCGACCTGGTTTCGATTTGCAGTTGTGCGAAGCCGGGCAGCAGGGCTCCCTACCCCACCTCTCGGAGCAACAGGGTTGTGTGTACCTTCGCGTAACGGAAAACTGAAAGAATCCAGATGTGTCTGTGGGTGCCTAGCCCCTTCCCCAGGATTCTCTCCGTCCTGCACTCCCCTTCCCCAAGTCGCCCCTCTTCGCAGAGATTGTCATGTCTCAGAAAGCAGTACTTAAGCCAAAGCCTGAAAAATAGAAATCAGGTCTCAGATGGAGAGCAGAAGCTGGGGCTTATTCGAGCCCTTCCCCACTCCCCCTGGACCTTTCCAAAAGTGCCTGACCAAGACCGGAAGCTGGCCTGGCAGAAACTGGGGCTAGAACCCCACCACCCATTGTTATAAGAATGCAGCCACAGGTGGGTCAGTCAGTCTCTCATTGTAAACCTCAGCCTGCCAGCAGGAGCAGGGCCCCCTATCATCTTCTCCCCTTGACTTGGAGTAGGTTAGGCCCCAGTTCCCATTGCCTAGGGCAACTTTGAGCTCCTGAGAAAATTCTCACTGAGGTCTTCAAAGAAACCAAGGAGCTAGCCTGTCTTCCTGGTCCTGGGTGTTACAGGGCAAAACCTATGCAACACAATACATCCACCCACCCATCTGTACTGGCTCTGGCTCAGACCTCAGGTCCCCTGCACTCCCTGCCCCTACCTCATTGCCCCTACAGTTGTCTTTGTCACAGTTTCCTCCAAGGTTGCACATCCGCCTGGTGATTTCGCTGGAGTTAGCCCAGGACCAAGACATTTCCCTCCTTTCTGTCATTCCACTGAGCTAAAAGTAACCCTAGAGATCTGGGAGCTCAACCTCCTTGGTGCACAGATGGGCACACTGAGGCCCAAAGAAAGGGTATGCATGGGCCAAGGACACAGCCTGTTTTCCAGGCTCCAGGCTTTGCAAATTGACTTTCACTGTATGAGGCTAGAAAAGAGGATTTTAGGAAACTTCCTCAGAGCCCCCCAAAGTTAACCACCTTCTGTACTAGAACTGGGGCTGCCTCTTCCAGTCTGCTGAATCTGTCATTGGAGGAGGAGTAGTAGTTGTTTTTTTTTTTTTTTGGAGGGGGATGTCCTACAAATGATCTAGTTTCTCAAACAATCCCTTGGATCTTTCCCTTCAGTATATGCTAATATGGTACTTTCATATGGGTGTGTGTCTGTAGTTGGGGTGGAGGAAGATAACCTTGTCCTTAAGATAACTGTTGGAAATGGTGATGGTATTTTCAGCCCTGTGGGCCAAACTCACTGTCTTCCCTTTGCTTGGTCCACCCACAAGAGAGTGGAGAGTTCCTTTTCTTTACAGAATTTCCCCGGATGCAACGAAAACTACACACATCCTTAGACTAGATTGTAGCACTTTTCTACTGAAACTTATAGGTTTGGCTTGCTCTAGATTGAATGATTGGGGTGTGAGAGACGGCTTGGGGGGGGTCCTCCTTTTGTATCCACTCAGTGTCCACCCCCGCCACACACACACACACCACCCCCGCCTCAGGAGGAGGTTTGACTCCAAGTGAGCTTCGTGCCACCACCCCTTTGAGCAAGCAGGGCAGTGGCGCCTCCAGGGAGGTCCTCCGGCTTTATAATCGCGACCAGGGCAGATCCAGTCGTGACTTGCTGCAGCCAGTTTGGAGACAGGCAGCTGTCAGGAAAGGAACTTGGTGGGGGTGG